TTATGAGATTTAAACAGACGTATTTTGGAGGGATTTTGAATTACATTTTTTAAGGAATATTTTTAATACCAAACTAGGCTGAGTAGTGTACTAAAATGATACCCAGCTGTTGTTCCACATGCCTTGGGAATTGAGGAAGTTCTTTGGAGGTCACAACACAACAAATAAACGTTAGAAATGGTTGTTGGTTTATGACAAACAAGTTTGCTAAATAACACAATATTAATTTTTAATGTGTTATCAAAATAACCATATAGTCCAACTCACACCCTCTCTCACTTAAAAAATGATTTAGTAAAGTACTCAGGTATGTGTACTATGACCATGCTATTCAGCAGGGTGCCCCCAATTCAGACGAAATAGCATATGACATGCTATTCTTGAGAGGGAATTGAAAATCTTTTCCTTACTGTGAGGAATGCAGTGTTAGAGGTAGAGCTTTTCCTCCTCCTCTGTGGGTTAGGTATGACTGAAGAGCTTTTTTCTTCCTTCATGAATGTCATTTAAGGGAACTAAACAAATGAAGGAGAGACTAACATTTCACTTCCTGCTGCTCCCTCACTGAGCAGCAAAATCAGCAGATTACCCAATGGGTGTTCCCATCACAGCAGAATGTGCTGAATGACTTTGTGGGAAAGCCCCAAGTGTGGGGAAAAATAAGACCATCGTAAAATGGGGACCACCTCTAGTCTAGAGAATCCTGAAGGTGTAGTTGGGATTTATTGAACAGCTTCCTCAGGAAAATTGATAGGCCCAGTAATGTAGTGAACCTGGAAGGGAGTGGTCTTTGGAGACAACCAGACAAGACTTCGGTGGTTCCAAAACTCTACAGAGAGCAGAATATAGAATAGAAAAAAAATGAGCTGTGGGACTAGCAATGTGGCAGATCAGCAAGGGGATGTCCCATTGAGAAGGCAGTGGGGGACCTTGCAGGGTGTAAGGGAGAGACTAAGATTTCCCTCTTCGAAAGGCCCTTGGATAACAGAGCAGACAGGAGGTGAAGTTCAGAACACTTTTCAGAAAACAGTGAAATGGTATACAGAAGACTATCATATAGATGGAGGCCACCAGCAGCAAGTGGAACCACACTGAGCCAACAGTAGGTAGATATTGCACAATATATCAGATAACACCTGCCATTTCTCTAGCCCTCATATTTGACCCCACATACTGCAGGAGTGACAACTCAGAAAACCATGCCCTTCCCCATTCCAAGAGCTCCTATCAGCATTGTCCTGGGGAGAGAAGAGAATGGAATCTACATCTTGCTCATGAAATCAAACCTTTAAACTGAACATTACTAGTATTTTTAATAATTGAAAGTAATCAGAAAGCTATAGAATCTGTCCTAAATGACATCAGATTGGAAAGGAATATTCTTTAGAGGTTGAAGCAATGATTGGAGAAAAAAATAAAACTATTTTAAGTTTGTACCCTCACTAAATTCAGACGATGCAATAAACCCAATTGCAAACAAACCAGTGATTTACAACTGTCCCCAGGGTTCCCAATTTGCTATTTTGCAAATATGAATTAGCACTGTGGTTGTGTGAGTGGGGTAACTTGTTACTACTCTACCGCTTCTCAGCCCCACCCTGGTTTTGTAGGTGTTTGGGTTCTATGCCCCAAACATATACACAAAACAGA